ATCAAATTGGTTTACTAGAATTAAATTTTACATGATTTTTCCCAATTTGATATAAACCCAAGTTGACATCTATATAAGTCTTGAAGATATATTTATATACAGTTTGCTAAAAAAATCAAGGGAATAGGACTAAAATAAAAACAATATAACATTTTAAACTAGACCAAGAATTTTTCTATTGCGTTTTTTTTGCAATCCGAAAGTATCAAATTTAATTTTTTTAAAAACTCACAATATTTGGTTTTGTTAAAAAGTAGTATCAAATCTGTTAAAAATGTAACTGTTTAAAAGTAGTAGTTATTGTTACGAAGTAGTATCAAAATCAGCTCTTTACTTGAACCTAGATTAAATGAAATTTCTTTGTATTTTAAAAAGTTTATATCACAGGTCACGTTGCAGGAAACAACAAGAAATTAAATAAAATTATACTATATTTTTAAAGCGGGATTAAAAGCAAAAACATGCATACGACAAACGTAAAAACTGGAATAATCATAAAATTAAAAAATATAAATACGGAAAAGCCAGATTAGGATTTAAATGAATGCGTCTAGTGCCAACAATAACCATTGTGCACATTTTTCTACCTGAGCTTGCAGCGAGTTTTTATTGTTATGTCACTGCACTGTTATTAAAACGTTAATCCGTAAAGCTCCGTGAAATTATTAATATTGCAGGACGGCCTAGATAACATAATTTATAATGGAAGCTTTTTGAAAAAAAATTGCGTGGGCACTATGTCCGCATATTTAAAGTGAAACTTCTTACTAACAGCTTCTTAAATTGAAGGATTTGAAAGATATATAATTTTTTAAGAATGCTTTTTACAAGCTTCAAAGAATAATAGTTAATATAAAATCGTATACTATTCTAGCTTTATAATTTTATGTTTTTTTTTTTAATTTTTATTAAAAAACGATAATTCTCTACATCTATATCTCTGACTACTACTAATTGCTACTAACCAACAATTTCTTTTGTGTGGGCTGTGGCCTGGTTTTGTTTAAATGTTAATATATTTTTAAATTAATGTTAATCGTTAGGCAACCAGTAAACTCATAGAATATGTATTTCTTTTAGATAATCAAAATTGTCACTCTAAACCGCTGTCTTTTTTAGACATGTCATTCAATTCATTTATAAATTAAAAAAATAAGAAATTTGTTCAATTCACTTGTCATTATTCAATTCATTATTCGAATTCTCATAATGTTGTTAACAAAAAGTATCATCTTAAAATAAAATTTTAATCACAATTGTTTATCTCCATCATTTACCGGATTAATAATATAGAAATTACAGCTCAATTACAAATAATTCATTATTTATGAGAAATAAATATGACAGTGTCCTCCAATGAAAATGCAGTGTTGCCACAAGCAGAAATTGATAAAAAATTGTTTTCCATTTTCAAAGAGTGGGTACATATACTAATATTGTCAATATAGTTCTCCTATTTCATTAAAATATAAAAAAAAACTGTTTAAATCTTTGTAAAAGAGGACCAATTAATATGATCCCAGTATTCGAACTACATTGATTGACTGTTTGTTTTTATTAATAATTCCTCCAAAAATACTAAAAAAATGAGTTTTGTATGTGTATTAGAGACTGTGGTAAAAAGTAACACCATACAAATTTTATTTCATTTTCCAAATTTTCATCCCGTTTTAGAGAAAATTAAAAAAAAATCGAAAATATAGTCCTAAAAGTCCTAAAAATCAAAAGGCATTGGTAATATAATTTTCATTTCATTCTTTGATAGATGGGTATTATTAATTTTGATTTCGCTTTTTTACATCTTCTTTTCTAAATTTAATCTTTTTTTTTTAATTGGTTTGATTATTCTTTTAACCTGTTACAATTTTGTATATTTTATTTTTGTAACTTCAAAATTATAGACTTTAATAAAAAAATTAAAAAAAAAATATTGTGGTGGTAAAATGTTAATTGCAGTTAAGTTATTAACGGTAAAAGCTTTAATTGTTCTTAATAGAATCAAGACCAACTATCAACTAAGTATTCTTATTCCTTTCGTAAGTTATACCTTTTTTGTAATTTATACCTTACCAAAGTAGTTTATGGAGAAACTCGAAAGGCAAAAAAAATATCTACCTATTATATTTTTGGAGGACGTAAATGGATTTCCCTTATAAAAACATTCCCGTGAAAAATTTCGTACTTTGGGTTCATAACCCTATCTACTTTAATACAGCAAAATGTCAAAGAAAAAAATAGCCGCAAACATTTTTCTGCTTTAAAATAATATATCATTCTAATGCGAAATTCTGAATTTGTGTCATGTGTACGAATTATCGTTCTCGGTTTTGGATCGCTACGACATCCCATTGACTCATATCTCTGCGAAGCAGCTGAGGTATACAATGGTGTAAATATTTGGAACGGGATAGATAAAACATGAATATGTTCAAAAATAAACTTATATTTTAGAAAGGATAAAGGGATTGCTATTTTGTGCACGTGCGAGTTTATACAGTATGTCCCCGGATTGTCTTTAACAATAAAAAACAACCAATCACGGCGCGTCTCGATCTATTTCAGGAAACGTGGGAACTAATTTTTATAAAACGGGCTTATATTTATCGTACTATTTTGTGAAATAACACGAAGCAATCAAGGTCAAACCTTGTGATGGCTTCAGAAAAATAAGTAAACATGGAAAAACTGATATGAAAACAGTTATTCCACGAAGGTTACACAAGGATATTTAGTTTTAATCATTGTCTAATATTATTAATTACAATATAGTAAAAAAAAATAAAACAGTGACTAACTAGCGGTCTACCATTATCAGCTGGGTGCTGATAAAAATATCGTTTACAGATTTCTCTTAATAACAATAAAGGAACATTGCTTTTAAAAAATATCCGTGGACTATACTTTTGTTGACATCGGGCTAATCAATAATTTTCCTAATCAGCTCGATATATTGATGATGTTATCAGTATTTATTACTCATCAAGCAATACTACTCTTTTATTAATCAATTAACCGTAAACAAACATAATATCATATACAATTTTAAATACTAATTCATTATAATAAAATTAAATCATAAAAATATTGCAATTATATTCTTGCAGTTTAAGTAAACTGTTTTGTTCAACTATTATGCAGTGCAGATGCAGTTAAATATCTATAAAAAAAATAATATAATATTAATATAAAATGTAAAATATCTCTATACATATATAAATACATATAAACATTACATTATAAACGCATGTTCAAATATTAATTTTGTAGAATATATGTCAACATAACACGAGATGTAATTAACGAAATATCATCGCAACAAAACAGCTATTGTAGAAAAGTCTAGGTTTACTTATTTCACTGAGATTTATGAATAAAAATCCTTTGCCTCGGATACAGATACCGCCACGTTTTTGAAATAGCTCAAAACGAAACAAAATTGAACGAGGCAACAAAAATGCCAAAAAAAAAACCCCGCGCCCTTGACATGTTTCGAAGAGTTTTTCGCATCTTCTTCTTCTTAAGGTGCCGTGCAGATTCCTGCGTAGGCGTTCATCTTTTTCTTCCTCATCAGATGGTTCTGTTAACTGCCGCGACTTGGAGTGCTTGGAAGTCCTGTATGCCTGTCCAATGACGAATATTTCTCAGCCAGGATAGCTTCCTTCGTCCTATCCCCCTTTTGCCCCCCTCTATTTTACCCTGGAGAATCAGACGCTGAAAGTGATAGCGTTCTCCACGTAGTATGTGTCCCAAATAGGCTATTTTCCTCTTCTTGATGATTTCGAAGAGTTCACGTTGTTCCAGACCAGCTCTTCTGAGAATGTCTTCATTCCTAACACGGTCGACCCAGGGCACTCTTAGCATTCGTCGTAGGGTCCACATTTCGAAGGCTTCAATTCGGTTTATTGTTGCTACCTTCAGTGTCCATGCTTCCACACCATATAACAAAACGGACCAGACATAGCACTTCACCATTCTGTATCTAAGGCCGAAGTTCAAATTCCTATCTGTGAGAAATCTTCGCAGTCTCAGAAAAGTAGATCTTGCTTGTTCGATCCTGCATTTGATCTCCTGATCCGGATCCCACGTTTCGTTAACCATGCATCCCAAATATTTAAATTGTGTGACCTGCTTGATGACCTCTCCATTTAAGTAAATTCTGGTGTTCGGAATATTTTTCTGCTAACAGCCATAAATTTAGTTTTTGTAGTATTTATGTTTAAACCCAGTCTTTGACTTTCACTGTTTTTAGAAGGATTTGGAGATCATTTGCATTGTCTGCCAATATCACTGTGTCATCCGCATATCGGATATTATTAATTGGAATGCCATTTATTTTCAAACCAATGAGACTATCGGAGATTGACTCAGTGAATGCTCTTTCCACATATAAATTGAACAACATTGGAGACAGAATACACCCTTGCCTTACCCCCTTTTTTATTTCAAAATCTTCTGTTACTCCTACGCTATGTATACGAATTTCAGCTTTTTGGTTCCAATACAAATTACTGATGAGCCTTATATCTTTTCCATCAAGTCCCAAGTTTCTGAGGTATGATACAAGGAGGTTATGTTTAACATTATCGAACGTCTTTTCATAGTCTATAAAGCACATGAAGACATCTTTTCTCTGATCTTGGCAATTCTGTACTAAAGTTTGAAGACTGAATATGGCTTCTCTAGTACCAAAGCCGTTCTTAAATCCAAATTGACTTTCTCCACTTACTTCCTCACATATTTTGTAGAGTCTTGTATGCAGTACCCGTAAAAAGAGCTTAAGAAAGTGGCTCATTAGACTAATAAGACGATACTCTTTACATGAAGTTGCGTTACTTGACTTGGGCAGCGTGATAAACGTAGAACGAAGCCAGTCTTCAGGGATGTAACCGGTGTCATAGATGTTATTGAAAAGCTGTACTATAGTTTTTAAGTTTTGTTCATTAATTAAGTGGAACGTTTCCGAATACATATCATCAGGCCCTGGAGTTTTGTCGTTTTTATTAATCTAATCGCATGAATAATTTCACTTTCCAATATGCTTGGTCCTGATGGCATGGGAATCTCAGTTGCAGGGTTTTCTGATCTTTTTGTCGTTGAAAAAGATTAATGGTATAATTTCTCCAAGTTTGCAATAGTTCTTCTGTTTCCGTTACAATTTTATTTTCATCAGTTTTAATTAGGGTTATTGAGTTATTATGGTGTAACCCAGCTATCTCTTTCACTTTCTTGTGAAGATGGAAACTGTCTCCAAGGTGACTGAGATTTTCGGCCTCTATACATCTCTCCTTCAACCATGTCTCTTTTGCCGTTCTTATTTTATTAAGAATTTTTCTTTGCATCGATTTATATTCGTTGTGATTATTCTGGATTTTAAATTGTCTTCGTTGTTCCATCATTTTTAAAATATCTTCACTCATCCACTCGTTTTTTGCTGTTGTTCGATTAGCCGTGAGGAGGTTTTCATTTGTGTTCTTGAAAGCTTGCTTAATGCCCAGCCAATGTTTCTCAATGTCATTTGTACTGACAATACTTTCCAATTCTATTTTTATATGGTTTTCATTCATTGATCTTTTCTGCTGGTCTCTGAGAAGTTTTGGATCCAAGTTCTTTCTCAAGCTTTTTCGTTTAGGTTTGGCAAAACGCAATAGGATGTTGGCACGTAATGGATTATGGTCCGATTCAATATCGGCACCTGGCATTGTAGTTACTTTTGTGATCAGGTTTTTAAATCTATTATTAATTAGTATATAATCTATTTGATTACGAACAATACGGTAATCATTGTCTTGTGGAGACTTACAGGTATAAAGTCGTCTAGATGGGAGTTTGTACCATCTATTTGTGATTGTAAGATTATTTTCTTCACAGTATTGTATCAATTTCTCACCTCTGTCATTCCTTTCACCTAAACCATAATTTCCGACAACAGATCCCAACCTGCCTTTACCGACTTTGGCATTAAAATCTCCCAAAACCAAGTTTATTTCATTACTTTTTGTGAGTCTTAGCACCTGATCAAGTTGTCTGTAAAAGTCTTCAATCTCGTCCTCTGCCTTTTCTGCTGTTGGAGCATAGTCCTGGATGATATTGATATTAATAGGCCTGTCCAGTAACTGAATTAGAATTACCCTTTCTGAGAGAGGAATAAAGTTCTTCACTGACTTTTGTAAATTCTCATCCATTAAAATACCAACCCCTCGCTGATGATTTTGATCAATACTGCCATTGTCGGAATAGTAAAAGACTTTACCTTTCGATTTAATCATTCCAGTGCCAGGCCAATGGACTTCACTAACTCCAAGGATATTTACCTCCATCCTTTCCATCTCCTGTATTAAATTGTCAAATTTTCCAGCTGCAAACAATGTTTTCACGTTCCAAGTCGCAATTTTTGTTATCTTATCTTCGCACCTCTTGACCACTTAGGGTCTGCCCGGGACTAGAGGACATTTGTTTTTGAGCTTCCAACATAATAAGAAATACTAGGATGGATATCTATGAAGATCTTTAATGAGGTGGTTTCCCGTTGCTTTCTGCATTTCCCTGCCGTTGACCACCTGCTGGTTCTTTCGCCTTTGGGGATGATTTCTCATCCCGAGGACAAGGAAGTGCCCTCACTCTTGTTAGTTCTTCCACCCGAAGCTGTTGACTTACAAGAGGGAACTGCTTATACCGGCAGTCATTCATTTCTAGCAGGGTGCACCACGTGCAGGTGAGGTTGTCAGTTGACTTAACATATGTTATCACCCCTATCACAGTTTTTCGCATAGTTTCGTTTAAAAAAATACAACTTTTTTTTTTAATTTTTTTTATCCCATCACTGACAATTTCTAAAAATCTAATCCTGTGGCTACATTACTCCCTGTCGAATGAGGTGAATAACCCTGTATACCTTTTTCTCTTGATACTAGGCACTATTTTATTTATTACTCTGGAATTTAGTCTAAATATTTCACTATTGTTCACTGTTTTATTTGCCACGTAGCTCTCTTAAGAATTCTATTCAATCTTCTGTTGTGTCCTATCCTACATATTTAATTATTATGGCCTAAACCTTACTAAAAATACTCTTGTGTGCTTTATATTTCTTTTTATATCCATGGAAGATAAACTTTTTCACTGAACATGTAACATATTGTTTTAACATAGGTATTTTGAATTCATGATTATCCAAATTAGAATTAAAAAAAATGGTGTGTTCTTACTAACAGCAAAAAAACTTCTTACTAACAGGGAGGAATTATTATTTGAACAATATTAATATTTAATCAAACTGAGTCCTGCCGTTTAAAGAACAATCAATAGCGAGTCTGGGGTATTCTAGTCAACGTGAAAAACAAATATCTCCCACGAACAGCTCTCTGTGCTCCTCATAAAGGATTTTCAACGTGAATGGTGCGAACCGTAGCTGACATAGCGAAAACGGAACTCAATGTCATACATACACATACGTATTCTGTGCCTAGTTGGAGCGGCCCGTCTGTATTTGACAAAAATTCCTTTATGTATTCTCGAACGGTCGTTAAATTTATATCCAACCTGGATACATTAATGGTTCAGACGTAGTAGCGTAGAATATGCATGAAAGTATACATTAGAGTAAGATGAATCAAGAACAGAGCTGCAAGCTCATAGAAATCTTATTTTTTATTTAAATCATTTTACTGACTCAAATAATTTGATTTTAAGTTATTTTTCGAAAGCTGAGTTAAAGAGTTATGACTTAAAATTTGAGACTTTTTGAAACTGACTTCTTGCAGTTCTGATCGAGAATATCATTTTATTCATAGTATGAAATCTGATTTTAAGTATAACTTGTGCTCTATACACAAATTACGTAGATGAATTTGGGACAACTAATACACATCTTGGGATCTCTACTACCAGAAATCAAGAGAATAATTAAGTTAGCATGGAGTACTAATGGAACAACCTCAGCCATATTTAAATCTAGAATGCCACTCTATCTAAAGAAGAAAACATTTGACTAATGCGTACTCCCAGTCATGACCTATGCATGCGAAACCCAAGGTTATTAAAAGATTGTTGTCTGGTAACTCGATCCGCCATTATCGAAAACGTCATCTACTATGTCATAGGAATGATACCGCTCATAGATAAAGGGATAAAAGCTGTCCACAGTCCGACAGTGCATTTCCGAATCGATATTCATTGTGTACTTTATTGTTTATAGTGTATGACGTCAATAGTTTTCAGTTGTTTGATGTGTGTTTCCTTTATTGTATTGTCCAATTATCTCTCTTTGTTGGTTGCATTTTATTTTCTATTCCTTTTGTCTATGATTTTATATGTTCTATCTACGTCAGAGGGATGCCATTCCGCTTCGCTCCTATTGGTCCAAAAGTTACGAGACAACTTTATCTTTTAATAACCTTGTGCGAAACCTGGATATTTAAAATGCATATCATAAGGAATCTGCAGGTCGCACAACGCTAAATGGGACGAACTATACTGGGAATAACCAGAGAGACCGTAAAATAATTAATATAATAACATAAATTACAGTGCAAGCAATGACTTTTTCATTTTTTTCCTTTCAGAAGAATATTAAAACTACCTTAGAATGCTAAAGTAGGTACCTTGGAATTTTAAGATCTGTAAGCAAGTTACTGTCGAAATTAAAGAAATTTGACAAGCAATAATTCATAAACCGTGAGATACAATTACTACATATTATATTGGCAATATAGCCAGCTATAGTATGTCATCTTGATTGGTAAAAATTATAATCAAATATAATCGAATTTAATGGATGAAGTTTAAATTTTAGAACTTTTTATTTAGAATTCAAGATCATATTTTTATATGGAACAAATTTGATGTGATTTTTTTTTCATTTGGTGAATACAATTTGTATTGGCATTTTATGTTTAAATGGTTTTTTAATTATAAAATAACATTTTATTACTTCTGAAAATACATATTTCTTTTTCATAAAACATACTGCTATCTAGCAATTTATTTTTGGTTTCGGAAGTATTTAAAAATTAATAGGACTAATGATGTATTAAAATATGCCGCTGTTTTCTGATAAAGGACAAACCGATAATATTTTTTGAGCATATACCTCAATTTCATTTCGAATTTAGCATATTTAATAAATATCTCCATTTCTATTTTTAGATTTAATTTTTTTATTCTAGTTTTTTGATGATTTTGCTATAAAGAAATAACGAATGTGTAATACTCCAACATAGGCCTCAAGGTCGATAAAATGGTATGCCGCAACCTAATCAAAATCCGTAAATTTATGGATTAATCCGTAGTTCTGGCAACACTGTCTCCGGCAACCACCCACTCTGTCGACTGAAAGCAGAACCACGGTACAGTGTTCTTTATTCGCTGCGCTGTAAGTCGATCAGCGCGCCGCGGCGCAGGGCTAAACTAAACCTCGGACATAGAATATAACAGTGATGCCAGCTACATCTCGGCCATATTTTGTACGGAGAACGGTTCTGCTCTGTTTTGTACAGGATAATATATATAATACACAATTGTGCTTTGGATATAACTATCGAATCAGTGTGTAATAGATTAAAGTCTTTTTTAAGATTTCATTTTAAAGTAAAGTAAAGATTTCAGTTAATGTCTCGTTTTTGCTGCCAGGGCTAATCTGGACGGGGCCTACATTGTGTACGCGCAATCCGAACCGCGGTCTTCGGCCATATCATGGTCAATGGCCTACCAACTTGGCAGTGTCTAAATCGACTCTTATTCACGAGATATCCGATCTCATCCGGCCTCGAACCGGCGTGAATGAGCAGTGTGTGTCAATAGATTTTACACTTTTGCTTTTTTTGGACAACAGCACGATACAGAGTTTCCAAGCGGTTACCCGTCCATTCACTAGTATCGCCTTACGTCGCATAACTTCGGTCTTCTAATGGGAACCGGTGTTTCGATGTAGCTGGGCCGTTGCCCTATTTCATTTTAACTCTAAAAATATTCTAAAAATAATTCCTTTGACAATAAAAACTTTCTTGTTTATTTTCTTTTTTCTTTTGGTAACAGTATTGCCAAATAAATTAGCATATTGATAATACCTTTAAGAAGAAACGTAGGCTTCTGTTTTGATACTAAACAAGCGACGTTTTTGACGCTTTTTCTTTAATTAAATTTATTAGGCTTTGCTCCGATGGCAAATAAAAACAAGTAAGGAATAATAATAGAAGGGCGCCAAGGAATCAATACATGGCCTGCATTATTCCGAAAAAATACAACCGGAAGCCAAGAAAAATATGAATCTTTAAAATATGCGGTTCTTCTTATATAAGAATAACAACGGAAAATTTTATAAAAATCTCATTTATATTAAAAAAATATTCTCCTACTAACTCATCTTTCCAATAATGCTTGGGACACCCTGTACACTTATAATTTTTGAAGTGAAAGAGTTAGTAACTCGCATTTTCATTGGAGGACACTGTCGTATTTATTTCAAACCAATAATATTCTTTATAATTTAACAAAATGACTGTATTACCACTATAAATAATAAATTATTAGCAATTGAGCTGTAATTTCCGTATTTTTAATCCGGTCAATGATGGAGATAAACAATTATGATTGATTAAAATTTTATTTTAAGATGAAACTTTTGTTAACAACATTCTGAGAATTCGAATAATAAATTGAATAATGACAAGACAAGTGACATTTGTCTAAAAAAGACAGCGATTTGGAGTAAATTTCGTTATGTAAAATTTAGAGTGACAATTTTGATTATGTAAAAGAAATATATATTATATGATTTTACTAGTTGCCTAACGATTAACATTAATTTAAAAATAAATCTTCAATATGAATAATGAAAAAAGCAATTAAACAAAAACAGACCACAGACCACACAAAATATATTGTTGATTAGTAGCAGTTACTAGTAATCAGAGATATAGATGAGGAGAATTATCGTTTTTTAATAAAAATGAAAAAAACATTATAAAATTATAAAGCCAGAAAAGTATACAGTTTTACATTAACTCAATTTTTTTGTTAAAGTTTATAAAAAGCATTTATAAAAAAAATGGTCAAGTGCGAGTCGGACTCGCGCACGAAGGGTTCCGTACCATTCAATATCTATACAACATTAGACACTATATTATTATAAACTTTTTTTCCGATTAAGCTGAAATTTTGAATGCGCGTATAAGTAATTTAAATAAAATGAAGAAACACATTACTAAAAATTGTATTAATAATAAATATGTAAAAAGTAAAAATAAGTTTGTAAAAATTAAAAAAAAAACGATTAAAAAAAAGTTGCCTTGACTAGGATTCGATCCTGTCTTACTACGGC